CACCTGCCCTGACCCCAGTGTGCCCGCCCTGCCAGGCTCAGGGGGGTGACAGTGCGAGGTGCCCCCCCTCCCCACCCCACCCACCCCGTCGCTGGGGGAGGTCAGCTTTACTTCCTGCCAAACAAGCACCCCTCAGCTCCGCCTCGGCCACGCCCCCTCCCTCGGGGGAGCGCGTGTTTGTTTAGCCTCAGCGGGCGGGTCTCTGCGGCAACCTGGTCTGGCAGCGCCGGGCATGCCACTACACGGCGTCCCGTCAGGGAGACGCGGCGCCAGGAGGGCCCGTTCAGACACGTCACTGAGAGCATCCTCAAAGGACCAACACCCTGCGGGCCGGCGGCACCACCTTCTGTGCCCGTCACGCCCGCCGCCTCCCCTGCAGGCACCCACTCCTGACAGCGTCCCCACGTTCAGGGCTTGGGTCTGCGCCTGTCCCCACCCCACACCACCTGCCGGGGCCTGACCCCGCTCCCTCAGCCGGGGTCGCCGGCTGCTGGCAAAGGGCAAGCGAGTGTGACATTCTCCGCCATCGTGGGCCAGGCGGTCCCTGTCGGAACCACGGAGCACAGTCCCTGGTGCACACAGTGCACAGTGGGCACCGGCCGAGTGCCCAGACACCTTCCCTCACGGCCCCTGAGATCTTCACGGGTCACCAGATGGACCTTTTGTCTTTCCTTTCAACCTTTAAACATGTACAAGCCGCCGGTCCGCGGGGCTCAGGGGTTGAGCATCGACCTGTGAGCCAGGAGGTCACAGTTCGATTCCCGGTCGGGGCACAGGCCCGGGTTGCCGGCTCGATCCCCAGTGGGGGCCTGCAGGTGACAGCCGATCCGTGATCCTCTCTCATTGATGATTCTCTCTCTCCCCCCTTCCTCTCTCTGAAATAATTAGAAATATATTAAATAAATAAAAGTGTTGAATTGTCCCGTAAAACTTTTACAGGCATCGCCTGGCAGTGTTTACAGGGCAAACCTTGTTTTAAAAAGGGACGTAACAGGTCGAATGCTGTAAACGTAACTTTACGGTTTTAAAACACTTTGAGCCTCATTTTCACGGACTGAAAACCTAGCAATGCCTTTGGGGTGAGGTGGGGGCGGACGTGACCCCAGTGGGTCTCAGGGGGTCTGGCCCCGCCCAGAGCGGAGGACACTGACCTCTATCCGGGTCCCCAGAGCCCGCTGGGCTCCTGGCTGGCCGACGCTGGCTGTCCCGAGTCCGCTGTCCCCGGCAGCACTATGTGACCCCCCAGGACTGGGGGACAACTTCAAGGACCCCCATCCCCCCACCCCCGCAACCCCAAGGAAACGAGGACGCAGAAGGGCCCTTCTAGGTGTCACTCGGGCCGGCGGCTCTGCCTCCCTGCCCGCCGCGTCGCTTCCAGGCTCCCGGGGGACGAGACGCCAGAGAAGAGAAACGTTGCGTTCAGCTCTGCGAACATCACAAGGCAAATCCATCCCCACGCGGACGAGGAGGCTCAAGTGTGAGCACGAGTAACGGCGTTCAGCCCCGCAGCCCGCTCACGCTCACACGCATGCTCACACTCACACACACACACACACTCACACGCACGTTCACTCACACACACACACATGCTCACACGCACATGCTCACACGCACATGCTCACTCACACACTCAAATGCTCATGCTCACACGCACACTCACACACACTCGCATGCTCACACTCACACAGTCACACACACACGCACGCTCACATGCACTCACACACTCACACGCACGCTCACACTCGCGCTCACTCTCATGCCCCCGCTTTCTCGGAAGGAAGCTGGGGTGTGGGGTCGGGTCGCGCTCACGCTGCCAGCCAGGAATCGCTCGCCTTCGCTTGCCCGGGCACCGCTCCCTTTTCTCAGCTACAAGGACTGAGACGCGGGACCGAGCCCCCCACACGTCGGCTCCATGCAGCTCCGCTGAGCCCCTGGGCTGGCGAGGCCACACGCTAAGAGCCAGCGCCAGGCCTATAACCGCGTGGAGTCTTGTTCCGGGAAATCCCAGTCGGTGGGAGGATGCAGCTTTGATCCAGGATCAGATTCCAAGTTCTCAGGCAGACGTTTCACCCCAGAGGACGAGGCTGCGATAAACGCGGACACACGGCAACACGGACGGGGACGTCGGGACGCCCGCATCGCTGGTGCGTGTCAAGGGTGCAACCGCCGTGGAAAGCAGACCCTCACGAGATGAAACAGGAACCCGCCGGCCCAGCAGGCCCGCTGGGCGGGGGACAGACCCCCAGGAGGAGGCAAGCTGTGTCCACACACAAACTTGTACCTGGTCCGGCCAGCGTGGCTCCGTGGGTGAGCGTCAACCTAGGAACCAGGAGGTCAGAGTTCAATTCCGTCAGGGCACAGGCCCGGGTTGCAGGCTTGATCCCCAGGGGGGGATGTGCAGGAGGCGGCCGACCCATGATTCCCTCTCATCATTGATGTTTCTCTCTCCCTCTCCCTTCCTCTCTGAAATCAATAAAAATACATTTTCTTTAAAAAACTTGTGCACGAATGTTCACAGCAGCTCTATCCCACTCTATCCCAAAGAGTGGACGCAGCCCAAACGCCCATCAGCAACAAACGTACAATCCACACAACGGAACGCAAATCGGCAACAGGAGGAATGAGGTCCTGGGAGACGCAGCCACGAGGGCAGATCTCAAACACGAGGCCAAGTGACAGACACCAGACCCAGCACCGCGCACGCGACTCCGTCTGCGTGAAACGGCAGCGCAGGCAACGCCACAGGCGGGCGGCTGGGTGGTGGCCAGGGCAGGGGTGGGGGCTGTGGGGGGGAACTGGGGAGCTTGCTAACTGGTACAGGGCTCTTTTGGGGTGAAAAGCCCCCGAATTAGGTGGTGGGGATGGTTGCACAGCCTCATGGGTACGCTGAGAACATCATCACAGACCCACATTCGTAAAAGGAAACAGAGAGAACGCCGTTGGCGGAGCCGCCCCTGCGGCCCCGGGGCCGCCCGAGGTGGTGGAACCGGCTTCAGGGTCGAGATGAAGGTCCAGACAGATCCACGAGGTGCCACGTCCCCAGCGGCCAGAGGTCAACAGTCCGATTCGGCCGCGA